ATATATAGGCTATATATATATCTGTCTCTTATACACATCTAGATGTGTATAAGAGACAGATATATATATATTCAATATAATAATAAGTATAAAATCGTGTGTAAGACTCGTGTGTGATAGACAAATAGTTGTAATATGCATTATTTTTGGGGCAATGGCCATATACTGGTGCTTATTAAATTATTGGTACGTGAACATTCGAATCTGAAAATGGAAGTACAGCAGCAATATAGTAGGCCCTGTGAGTATACGACCCAAATACTTAACTAACTATTGTAGGCCTAACAACTTAGCACCAGTCAAGTTATTAGCCATGATTGGGGTAGCCTGGCAGTGCAGTGGTAGTTGAATCGAGTTGAGTTAGATATTAAATCTATCCTAGGCTACCACTAACCTTAATAGCAGCCGAGCCTTTTGAGCTCTTTCAGTCGATGTACTGCCAGTTTTTGTCTGTAAGCCGCCGTTCCTGTAAGCATTACGATACAAACAAGTTCAACTCAGTTCGTGGGCTCTTTGAAATCTATTGTTATTAAGTGGCACTTGAGCGTTGCAAGTCACATGGTGTAATCAATCGTCGCCTAGCAACTTCAGTACATCTTCGCACTTTGGGTGAAGCTTTATAAATTCGGATTCACGCAAACACGATATTCACAACAGAAAGCAGGGAAAATAAACCTTGTTTTTGATAATAAAATATCCTTATTAAATTATTTCATTTTTAAAATATAAGAAAATAATATTAAAAATATAATAATTTTAAATAAGACCTCTGGTCGATGTTGAATCCGATCCCGAAGTAGCAGCAGGTAATGCAAATGCTATTACGATGTGAGCTGCTGCGTCATGAGTTAGGCTATCATACAGAAAATTTCTGTCCTCTGGTCCCCATTTATGATGGGCTTACACTTCGATCTCATTAGTCCTTAAGTAGGCCAAAAGTAGGCCAAATTAAATTTAAAAAAAAATTAGGCCTACTTTGACTTTGAATCCATCACTCGAGCCCTCAAACTGTCCCACCGCCTATTTTATGGCTGTTTTGAAAAATACTTCGAAAAATAAGACTACCTCAGATACGGTACGAATTAGACCACTGATTAAAACTTGGACCCTATACAAACTCAGCTCCCCAACTAGATAAATGAAAACTACCAGATAATAATACGTTTGTTATTACTCAAATTCTATATTTATTTGATGAATAAATGAATAAACAAGCATTTATACAAATATTAAAATTGTCGGAGCAAGACTGAACCTACTGAGAAAAGTTGCGGTTCTTTGTTGCAGTGCAGTAAATCTAAAACGTATCATAAAGTCATTCAAACTCGTGTACAAAATAGAGGAACAAACTCTAAAGTAGGGCTATGTTTTAAAGTACCGTTGTATGAAGCTTAATTACCTTACGGTGTATACCTAAGTGTAAAAAGATAGTGAATTAATTCAAAGAATATTAGCATGTCAAGAAACTACAGTAAATGCTTGAATAAGCGCCGCGGCGCTTATACAATTTTTAGAGGCTTCAGTTCGGCGCTTATTCAAGAGGCGGCGCTTATAAAAAAAAAATATTTGCGTGACGTTTTCTATGCCCGTTCCCATGTTCCCTATCTCACGTATTCCCGTAGTTCATTAGGCCTATCATATGTCCTACGTCATCGTAAATAAACACTTATAAAGAAATGCTTGTGTCTTGTGTTATTTATTCATTTTACTGTATTTAAACCCTGTTTCTCAAAGTCTTTCTTTACACACAGGGTAATAACTCTCGATTAAGCGCCGCGGCGACTATTCGAGAGCGGTGCTTCGAGCATTTACGTTAGTCGTGGTTATATTGAAACTTTAAAACATATTGACGCCAATAGAACAATCATCGCCTTTTTGCAGAGATGTAGATCTAAACGTATTGATGAAGTATATTCACGCCAATTTTCAAATCGTGTACAACATAGTTAAGCAGCTTTAAAATATCGAACAATAACGCGCGTGTCGATATTTTAATTGCTTTAGAAATACATTTTCAAAAAAATGTAATTTTGTAGAGCATCGGACTGCGGTAGGCCTACAGACTATTATTAAATATCTGAATGAAGAAAATAACCGTTGTGTAATTATATTATATATATATAGGCTATATATATATAGGCTATATATATAGAACTGGAGGTCGCTGGAACAGAATGTTGCTACTCGGAGTTTCACGCTATTGCGATCGTCAGGCAACTGATGAAAGGTGAACGTAGTGTGGTGATGTGACTTGCTTGTGCGGACGTAGTATGAAGTTAGGTTATTGCGGACGTCGGAGTAGCTGTTCGGAGGTAGTGCTTGTTTTCGTGGCGGCATTTCGATACAAGTTCTG